CAAAGGGGTTTTCTTTTTTGCCATACGATAAAAAAGATCTAGCATAACTTTGTATCGTTGCTATAAGCCACAATCTATTCATTTTGGTTTATTTTTTGTCACTTTATGAAATGTAAAATGTTTGCACTCCCGTTTAAGTTGAGCAGAGAAAATATTTCATACATTGGTTTTCACAAATGTAACTTTACAGCTCCTTTTTATGTACAGTTTTTCAGTTATAATAAAGAAATATAAAAACTTTTAAATGAATGGCCATGTGAAAGGCCCATGTGTATTTGGACAAAGTGCTTCTAAACTCGAGATCCTGGTTGAAAAAAGATGTTTGGATGCAGAGGTAATTGGTATGCCTTATACTTTCCTGCTTAGTCATTTATCTTTATAGTCATATGTAAAAAATAATAGAATACTATATTCTTGGTAGGTTATACTTCTGTTTTTAATACATTGCTTTTTTAATTATAAATTTTCTTACAGTATAGTATCTACATGCACTTCATTCTTAGCCTTTTAGCTTTAGAGTACAGGATGCTACATTTTGGACAGGCTGGAGGACTGGCACTGCATTACTCGACCACAGCTGCAGCTAATATATGTAATGGCAATTGGGTACACATATTCTGAAGTACATTTTGTGTACTGTAAAAAGTATACAGTGTACAGTGCAGCTCTAAATATATTCAGAAGTAAATAACATTGTATTTATTGGAACTTATTCTCAGATAAGTTTGCATTGGACTGCAGCCTAATAAATTTTCAGCCCAAATACTTAAAAAGATCATCAATACTGCAGTCTTAAGTGTACTCTTTGAATCTAAATTCAATATGCCTGATTTTAAATAAACCTATACAGTAACATGCTACACATCTATCTTGAGAACTTTGCAATACATAAATAAAAGACCAGACATACATAGTAAAGGAATTTGAAGCTTTCACAGAAAGCTGAAGGAAGTGAAGGAGGAATATGGGATTAGGCTTTTAGGACAGCAGAAACTTGGAGTGCAGTCACAGAAAAGGAGCCACCAGCTGAACTGCCGCTGACGTCATTCAGAGTACTTCACTTAAGGACAAATTCATACAGAGCAGGCAATCCTTGTTTTGTTACTTGTATTACATTTACATCTTGCCTTTTTTCCTCTTACAAGGAGTGCAAGGTAGCTTATGTGGTCCTCTTGTCTATTTTATCCTCACAACAACCATGTGAGAAAGGTTAGACTGAGAATCCATGGTCATTATAAAGTCATCTTGTGAATTTCATGGCCAAAGAGGAACTAGAATCCAGAATTCCTGATTCCCAGACTGACACTCTTAACCACGACACCACAATGAGTCCTTCTGTGGTATTGTAATTATATCCTGCTTTTCCTGCAAGGATCTCAAAGCAGCAATCAGTGTGTGTGTATATATATTATCCAGGGTTTTTAGTTACCTGTGTAGACTGACCTGTTTCTCTTCATTTCACTCTGTTAATAACAGGAATATCTAAGTGCTGCGACAGAAGGATATGCACGTATATGGCATCTGCACAACTGCTTTATTTCAACTAGCTCTAATTAGCTAGTACTAGTGAATGTGCAGGGGAAAGAATCAAATATGCCAGTAGCAAGGATGATTTGAGTTCTAGTAAAACTGGTTTCATCAGCTGAAGTCTAGTTCATATGCTAACACCTAATGAGGTTCTCACATGTGAGCGAACTCCCCATTGCTTGCAATCATATATGAACATATGAAGCTACTTCATGGTGGGACAGAACATTGTGTTCATCTATCTAACCATTGTCTGCTTTGGCAGTGATTCTCTCAAGGTACTATGCAGGAGCTATTCTCCTTTCACCTCTTTGCGCTACTGCAATTTCATTCTCACCCTTGGCAAAAGCAGTTCCTTGCTAGAAAGATAGGGTAACACACACTCTTTCATGTTCTTTGGCAAGGTGTATCCTCTTGCATTTCTGGGCAGTATCTTTGTGCAGATGAACACAATGCAAAGTCAGAAAACGCAGGATACAAAGCATGGCAGTGCAGGATACAACTTAAATGGGGTCAATCAGAAATAATAATATATCGATGTACCCAAAGCTACGACCTAAAAGCAAGAATAGTTCTTATTTCTTACATCTAGTTGCACATAGATAATTTTGCAAAGATTCTGTAATTTTAACCACTAGACAGCAGATTTAACACAATGGGTCTTGCTTCTGAGGATTGTACTCTAAATGTTGTGCTCTGTGTAATTAAAGCAGAACCTTGGAGTGCTGATGTTACAAAGGGTCAGGAATACGTCTTGTTGCACATGAAAGCTCAGTGAGACATTTGAGGGGCAGGGTCATAGCTCAGTTGAAGTCAGCTTGGTTTGAATGCAGGTCCTAAATTTAATCTCTAGTCTAATCTGTGAAAACATTAAGATGAGACTGATCTTTGACTGAGACCCTGGTAGACCACTTCATATTTTCATGCCAATGTTGTGGTAGTTTCCCTTCTGTTTTCTGCCACAACAGTAAAATCATTGCAAGATAAAATGTCATAAGGGTACTAAGTTAGTGTCTTTTCTCCCCTCTCTCACTTATTTCCCCAGAAATTATCACAGGGGCTTAATACTGCTTTCATACCTAAATTCTAATGAAAGGACCAAGAAACACCAGAAGTGGATTTCCTCTCAGGTTAGTCTAGGAAGCAACCAGAACCTTTCTTCCCCCACTTTAACATTTAATAGCTGGCTGTTTGAGTCACCTTTCTGTGGAATTTTAATAAGTTTGTTCATTATGGTCTGAGGCCTTGAAGTCTGAAGTAGAGTTCACTGTTGCTGCAGCAACCTTAAAAGAAATAGGCTCCCTTGGAGATCATACCTTTTTAATGTATGGGTTTTTGTCTGTTAAACTCACTGCAGAAAGTTTGTCCCATAGATCCATATGCCCCTTATTTTTCCACTCTTCACTTGATAAAAGATTAGGGTTCTCAATGTATTCTGTAGTCTTCATACATTTTAGTTCCCCAAATTGTAATCATTACAAAAAACAATGTTCTTTTAGCAGTAGCTGCACGTGGGTTTTCACTCACATGTTTATATCAGGACCTCAGCACTTGGATGTTCTGTATGTTTTGGCCAAGAACTTTCATATTTTACCAATGGCTCTGCTGGTCAAGGTGGCTTACAAAGTGCAGGCCACCCTTGCTTTACATATTTGCAAATGTAAATTGTCCACATTTTGTAATGAATAAAGTGGCCCAACACTTTCTAGTTTCAAAAGATGAATGAATATGAACGCAAGATATCAGAAGCTTAAAGAGTAGCTACTCATTACAAAAGCTGTGCTGCACAGCACAATTTTAAGTATCCTTGGATTTTATTCTTTAGGACTGCAGCCCAAACCAGCACAGGCCAGTTGCTATTTAACAACTGATGTTCCAAGCACATGACTTTGAAAGAGGAAAAAAAAATATAGCAAGATGTGTTCGCTCTGAAGGTGCTTACAAGACCACTGACTTTGCTGCAACACAGAGGAACACGGCGCCCCTCAGGAACTCGCTCCAGAGTCAAATGGGCCAGAATCGCGCTGTAAGAAGAACCCAAGAAGGACAGCCAACAGTCATCTCTATCATTATCTACCCAATTCAAGAGTTGACCCATAAATTGACCCTCTTTCCACTCGACCATGATAAAGGAAGCCCTCTTGCAGAAGCTTGTTTTCCCCTACCACTCGCAGCCCGGAAGGGGGCATGACTTTCAGTTGCCACGAAACTGCAAGCCCCGCCGAGGAGAAGCGAGGGACGAGCGGCTGGGAAGAGGCCTCCCTCTGCGCCTCGCTGCGTCCGCTCGTCGCCTTCCCTTCGACGCTGGAGACGGCCAAGAGGAGGGCAGGAGCGCGGCTCAGAGCTGCATCTTGCTGTCCGCGTCGGCAACCAGGAAAGCTCGCCCCGCCGGGTCCGCTGAAGGGCGGAGGAGGCGCCGCCGCGCGTGCAGCCGCAGCATTCGCGCTCGTCCACCTGCCCGGGTAAGGCGGCGGCGAAGGCCAGCCGCAGCTCTGCGCGTGCCTCCTTGGGAGTAAGTCACACTGAACTCAACGACACTTTTCTCCGAGAACGCACACCGAGGGTTTCCCGGCTGGCGGCCGGCTGCCTCCTCCCCCGCCTTCTGCACAGCACGCCTGAAAGGACGCGGATGCGCGATGCGCGCCGCCCACTCGGCGCCGCTTTCTCGCCGGCCGCGGGAAGACCGCTCCGAGTAGCGGAATCTGCGAGCACCACGCCCGGCCGCGCCGCCCCGCCCTTCGCCCCCCGCAATTCCGTCGGGTCTCTGCCCACGTGCGCCTGAGCCCGTGTCATTGGCTTGCTCGGAGCGCGCGGGCGGGGCGTGAGGGGTTGTGGGAAGACTCCGCCCAGCTCCGCTCCGTGTGGGTCTTTCTCTGGCTCTCGACGGCGCCGGGCTGCGAGGGGGCGGAAGCGGGGCTTGAGCCTGGGGCGCGGGCGCTGCGCAGGTAAGGCACGGAGCACGGCGAGGCTTTGCTGCTAGGGAGCCGCTGCAACGGGCGGGCTCGCTCGTTGTTCACGGCTTGCTGCAGGCGACGGGGCTTTCACTGTCTCTTGTCTGGCAGATTCCTCGCCGTTGTGTTTTAGCGCTTTGAAATATTGAGATTCTGGGTTAGGTTTTGGTCATGTTCTGTTTTGGGGATTACATTCTTGTAAACCGCCAAAGGAGTAAGGAATTTACATGTAATATTAGTTTGCGCTTAATTCAGAGGGTTGCCTAATCATGTAAATGGAATGGTAATCAAAACAGCACTATTTCTGCCCATTTACTATGCAGTGGGCTTCCATCCAAGTCAGCGCGCCAGTTGTGGTCTTACACAGCCCAATTTTATGTATACGCACTCGGAAATAACCCCCGCTGTGTTCAGTTGGATTATGAGCGTTATAGTGCAACACATTTGGAGGATATCAGGTTTAGGAAGTCTGCTCTTCACACCTGACTTGAGAGTAAGGTCCCCGCTCTTTTAGCTCCTGGGACCAAGCGTGCAAACCTTAATTCTTTAAGTCCTGCGCGAGGCACATTGGACGAGCAAACCTTAATTGCGTCACAGTAAAACTAAATGGGATTGTGCTGCAAAACTCTCTTGCATTGCGGCCCGAGCCAAGTTTGTGCTGAATTAAATCCGAGTTGCCTTAGTGGGACGAACTCCCTAGTCTGTGTGTTTAGGATGCAGCCTTAGGCATAAATGGTCGGACAAGGTACACTGTTGTCAAACATAGACATTGGCTTTATCTCTGTAGCTGTGGCATGCTGTGAGGGAAAAAAAGCCGCTCTCTGAAACAGCTACTTTTTTTCAAACATGAAGCAGTGAATGCATCATTTCAGCTGCCATGTATGCTTATGAGAAAGGAGAAGATGTTCTGTGTAACCTGTATGTTTCTACTCAAAAGTAAGTTCCATTGAGTGCAGTGTGCTTACTCCTGGGAAATTCGGTGAAGGATTGTAGCCACAGTAAAGGCATAGCCCACAGTTAACATAGTGGAAGCATATTTTCCTCTGACACTTGGCCGCATTTACACAACTGGCTATGCCATCCTGGAAAAGTTATGCAGTGTGGGAAGTTTGCAAAACAATCCATGTTTTGCTTGACAGATGATTCGGCTTACCATGGTTTGTATTCCCCTTTGGTCCTCAGCCGGTATCAGACTGTTTTTTGAAGCAAAACCCATCTTGTCTCACCTTCCCTGCTCTATCACTACCACTTCACATTCACCACCATTTCTTTGACAGCCTCAAAAAACACAATTAGGATAGTAAAAAAAAATATATTTTTTTAAAAATTGCCCTCTGAAAATTGCAAAACTGTATTTATATTTTTTAACTTTTGAAAGTGCACCCTTAAAGCTGAATGATATGTGTAGTCCTGCCTTGCAGTTTTTCTGTATGTTTCAGCTGTTAGAAGTAATTGCAAAGTGGAGTAAGAAAGCGTTAGACTAAATGCAGTCTCGCCTTGTCAATTTGCACCCTGTTGCCAGGAACTAGCTGCCCAGTGGCCAGTTGAAAAGCACTGAATAAGCGGGAAAAGCAGCAAAAGGAGATGCACAAAAAGGAGATGGGGAACATTGCCCACTTAGTAATGTAATCCTTTTGATTGTAAGTGTTAAAGTGACACTTTTCCATCCCCTGCATCTTTTCAACATTTTTCTATGTCTCCAGCTACTCCTGAAAGGGAGAACATGTTGTTTCTCCCACCCCATCTTCATGACTCATTTTGCAGCACTTACTCTTGCAATTACTGTAATTCCCAGACAGATGTAAGGATTTTCCCTCCATTTACTTTTCAGTAATTAAGTTCATCTATATTTATGTGTTTATTAAAGTTGTAAAAGAACTGCAATAACCACTGCGATTAGTGCTTCAAAAAGGAGCTACAAAATGGTGGTGGGGTGTTTGTAACTGTCCTTTCTGGAGTAGTTGTCGATGGAGCGTGGTGTGAAGGTGGTGTGAACTGAAAACTGTCAGCTCAGTACCTAAAAGTGAGAAGACTGTTTTATAAAAGGAGAAATACTGCACCCCTCCTGTTCTAGTGCACCCATTTCTATCACATTTTTTCTTGGCAACTCTGTGCAAATTAGCCTATAGGCAAATATTCCTTGTTAATTTTATTGTATGTTTCCTGCAATATGTTTCCTCCTCTCTGCTTCCTTTTGACAGCTGAAACAGGTAAGGAAATTGATCTAGCAAGACAGCACTTGCAAAAGACCAAAAATTAAAAATAATTAAAAATTAGGGCCACATTTGCATAATTGGTGGGTGGGTATTTAAATAGTGATGAACCAGTGAGTCATTCCAGAGTGCCACTTGGGCATCCTTGGAGATGCTCCCACTGACAGGATAAGAGTAAGATTGCAAAGTGCGATTCTTCCTGAGCAGTTATCTCACTGCTTTCCACAACCCTATTCCACATTGCTATCCTGAGTTGAGACAACATGACAACCATCATGAATAGAACAAGCCATGGATTGTCAGGATGGCTTGTTTGTGAAAAATATGCCACCTATGGGAAGCGGTTTGAGGTCAGAACACAACAGCCCATCACAGCTATTTACCCACAATGAGCTGTCATGCCTTGAGAACCCAGTCATTGTAAATCCCAGCCAAGATTGTCTCATGTTATACTGAGAGCCAGTGTGGTGTGGTTAGAGATGTCAACTGGAAACCCAGGAGATCTCGGTTCTAGGCCTCACTTGGCCATGAAACTTAGTGGGTGTCTTAGCTCATCCCATATTTTTAGCTCACCCTACCTTGCAGGGTTGTTATTATAAGGAGAAAATTGAGCTATGTAAGCTACCTTAGGTTCCCCATAAGAGAGAAAAGGTAGGCTATAGAAGTAGTGTAATAATAATTCTAAATTGTTCATCTAAGTGGGATGGTGTAAATTGGTGTCCTGCAACTGCAGGGAGTTGGAGTCGATGACCTTTCCGAATGGCCTTCATGGCCCCTTCCATCTCTACTATTCTATAAATGCAAGAACACATCTGAAAATGCTGTAAAATGTAACTCAGTTTTCAATTTGCAGCCTCTTGAGATGTTTTCGTTCTCTGTATCTCTGTAGTTGACACTTTCCAGTTTGTCTACAGTTACGCTTCTAGAATAACTTTCCACATCCCACATGTTTGTCCCCACCTGCCCTCATTTCTGGTAAAGTAGGTGGCACTTTGATTGTATGTCAGTGTAATAACAATGTGGTCCTTCTCAAACTTTGAGAAAGGGAAATAGAGGAGATAACCAGACCAGCTTGGAGGGCAGCCATTGGCCACGTCTCGTAGCAAATGAAGATTACATTATAGAAGAGAGCATTATGCCATTGCTTTTGTGTATGTTTAAGCATTAAAAATCTATCGTATTATATTTTGGCCTTTCATCAAATGCTAATTGCTCATTATCGATCTCTGGATAGCATTTGTATTTTTGCCAGAAGAAGTCAGCAGTAACTAAATAGCAGTTTTATCCTAATGACAGACAGACACTGGAAGGAATGCAGCTTGTTTGGGAATGCATGAATCATTAATAAAACCCAAAATATGTGATAATGTAATAGAGAAGGCTTGTGGATTCTGCTGTTGCACATAGATGTCAGCATCGACTTTTAGCAGGGCTGGCCCTCCCAGGCAGCTGGGTGAGGTGCCTGCAGCAGGCGGTGGAGCTGCAGGAGCGGCAAATTGTACTGCTTCTCCACCTGGAGAAGACTGCCGCCCCTGCCACCCTCCAATGGATGGTCCAGAAAACCTCAGCAGCTTCTCTTCCATAGTGACATTTCTGTAGCAAGAGAGGGGCCAGCAGTGGCACCAAAGGTAAGGGGCTTCTGATGAAGCAGCAGCCCATGTCTTCTACAACCCCAGATGGCAGGGTTTTAAGCTATTAGGACTATTTTTAACCCTAAACCAAGTAGAGTTCAGCACCTTATATACAACTTGTTCAGCTTCTTGATCATCCACGCAAAGTCTGGAGAGAAATGAAAAGGATCCTCCTGATTGTTGACTCTCACATGCTTCAGTGCCTTGGTTACTGGTGCATGCGACATTTGAATTGCTGTGTTGTTTTGAGAATCTCACAGACTGGCCGCATCTACAAAGTCTACTCTCCATTATCTGCTTTTTGCAACTTTGCATCAACTAGGTATGTTTGTCATTTCATTCCATTTTTTAACTTTGTTAAAAGATGTGCTTGTTGCTGCTACAGCTATTTTTACTTTGTTCACACAATGCACTCTTTTTATATTGTATCCAGGTACCTGAAACTTAATGAAATATATGTAGAATTACCATTTTTGCAAAATCTGCAGGATAATAGTCTCTTCTGTTAAATGCTTAAGACAAAACTGCTGGGTTTCATGAAGCAAGATGTAAAATCTGCTAGGTCCGGAACTTAGGAGATAATTTACATCAAGAAATCCTGAAAAATTGTTTGTGTTCCTTTTTCCTTTGATTGCTGAATTTCAAACAAAGCAAACTTAACATGCTGCTATCATACCAAGGCGTTATGCTGAGTTGTAAAGCTACGAGTATATAAATGACAATAATTCTTCCTCTAGTTTCTTGGAGATGGTTGGGCTGTCATGTGAAGCACAGTCACTTTGGAGTAGTACTACTGAAACAAATGGGGCTTGCTTAGCATTGTAGTTTAGCAGAAATACAACTATTTACAGACGGACAAAAGAAGCTGAACAAAGGAATTTGGAACTATACATACTGAGTGTATATACAGTTCTGAGCATAAAATATCTGAGTGCTAGTTGAAGATATGACTGCTCGTATGACTTCCACATATTTAAAGTATGAAATATAAGAGAATCTTGTACTTAATTTAGGGTTATGTGCATCCTAAGTCAGACAGGGAAAGCAGCAGAGGCGGTCTCTGCCCTTGCTGGTCTCCTGCTCTGCAAGTCAACTGCTTGGGCAATGTTGGCTGAGGTGCTTCGTGGGGTGTGGGGGATGCTGGGGTCCCTGGTCTCAACCCCATCTTGCCCTCCAGAACACCCCCTTTACCCCTTCTTCAGGGTCACTTTTACAACCATGGGTAAGCAGCTGGTGCTGCTCTTGCCTTGTCGACAGATAATTTATTACTTCTGCGATATGGGAGTAATTCCTAATTGTGTTATTACCTGTTATGCTTCCAAATATGCTTACAAATAAGTGCATATAATTCTATATAATTTAGGGCTTTTTCGTTGGGGTGGAATCAACCCAAATGAGTGTTTTAAAATCGTAAGAAAGGGAATTTTAACAAGCACTTTTATATAAATGTATATAAAGAAAAGTCATGAAATCATTTGCTATCTTAATTGTAAATGATTGCTGTTTAAAGAAACGAGGCACTTAACATTTAACAACAGATGTCCAGAAGAACAACGTATTTTTATTCACAGATTCCTGCTTAGCAGAAATCTCCAGAACTGGCTGAGATTGTCCCCTGTTTCTGGTTGGAAGAACATGGACAAAAGTAGGCCAGACATCATAAGAGGCTACGCAAGTCCCTTTCATTAGCTGCCTGTGCTTGCTTTCTTGTTCATGTATCATCCACTGTAAGATATGCAGGAATGCAATTCTTTCAGTATGTATTGAGTGCACTGAAAGCCGCTGTTACTACTGAAAGTTTTTGCACCATGCTAAAGTTACCATGTGCTACTTTCTTTCCTTGGCTTTCCTGTGGGCAGCCTCTACTGCCCTATGTCTAATTGCAGTCTCTAACACTAACTGTGTTCACAGAAGCAGAGAAGGAAAAGAAGCATGATGGCTTCTTTTGTCCACCTTGCATGTGCTGATTATGTGCTATCTCATTTCCATAATTATCAGCACCATGTGCAGGTTTCCATGTTGTCTGAAATGGATGTCTTCTAAACCGCCCCACAGTCTATGGCATGCTTTAGGGTTCTGGGATGGTTTGGAA